ATGTATATGTATACATGCATACATACATACATACATACATATGTGTGTGGGTGTGTTGAGTTCGCATTAAACAATGTCGCATCAAGACCGCCAATGGGGCCGTTGGCTGCTTGATGCACATGGTTCAATGCGGATTCAATACCTTGCAAAAGAGTGGATGAACCCCCCAACTGTACACCGACCAGCTGCCGATTTTCAAGGCGCCAGCTATTTCGCGGCCTGCCACACCCGTGGAAGGTGGCTTGCAAAGATATCGGTTGGATCGAAAGGGTTCCAGAGCATAGGTCTCCCTACACCGCAAACCTTAAACTCGGCACGATGTAGGAATGGCGGTTGGGACGTGCCGGGGTTGTGTTTCTTTCGAGCTTCGGTTTCTGTTTTAGGCTCTCAGGGCGAGTACTTCGGATTCCGAGTCTAAGACTTTGCCCGCGGGGGGTGCAACTGCTCCATCCTGGACCCTAGATCCCAGAGCCCTCGAACCCCGAACGTTCCCAGCCGTGAGGCCCTGAACCCCACAAGGCGTGATCGACGTGGAAAACTTCCAGTCCCTGGCGTATGTGGCCATGGCAATGGAGGTGGACGAAGATGACGAAGCACCGCTCCTGGCTCAGCTGGGAGGCACTGGTGTGGGATTCTAGGGAGGTGTGCTTTTTTGTTTCATACAGAAGCCTTTGGGGTTCCGGGTTGCGGGTAGAGGGCTCAGCGTCGACCCGTCACGACTAAACACACTTATGCAGCGACTTAAATCTCAGGATCCCTATGTTCAACTCCATTCGGAAAAGAGGCCCGAAGGGCAGGAGCCCACATTGCCGTGCAGTGCAGGCACGTCAAGTGGCAGCGCCAGCAGCTCGCAGGCAGGATGATCAGCTCTGAAGCACCCTCCTTATATTTCCTGCATGTTGTGTTCCACATGCCCTAAAACCTAACTGTAACTCTGAACCCGAATTTCACTTCCCGACACTCCTTGCAGGCCCCGCGGTCGGTTCTGGACCCGTTCAACGGCATCGTGCCGAGCTTCGACGAGTTCAAGCGGCGAGCGCGCACTCGGACCTATTGCGGGGTGCAAGAATGTTACATCAAGTCCCAGACCACAAATATCAGAAGCCGAAGCCTGATTTAGCTAAGCCCTAATCCATCACGCCTTTCTCTTCATTGCACAAGTGTGCACCTCGAAGCAGTCTGCCCCAGAGCCCCAAAGCCACGGTCCTCAATACTGCCAACAGTGTGGGTCAAGGTCCAGGACGGAGGGAAGCGAGAGGTGAGGGGGCTTGCGCTAGGCTTCGGGATGTTGGCCGTTATAAGAAATTAGAGAAGGACCTAAGGAGATATAGCATAGTTCTAGGCACCACAAGGGGCGCTTTAATTCTGCACTCAGCCCAGGCAATGCCGATCCTACACAGCGCATTCCGCGACTTCGAGACCGGCGCCGCCAGTCTTACAACGGTAGGGTCCACTGTTACCGGTTGGACATTTGGTATGGGAAGCCTACTTAAGCTCGCGTGTGTAGTGATGGAGCGGGTTCCTGCTGAGACATGAACAGACGGGGCACCTTAAAGCAAGACTGTTTCGCAGGCATATTGCATAAACATATGTACATAATTACATATTTGATGATATTTGATTTGTATATGTATATACACATACAGTGACGCTTCAGTGTTCGCAGGCCCAGATTATGCACGGGTTCGTAAGCCATAACGATGGAACTCTTCTGTCTCTAACTCAAGACGTAGTTAAGGACTCTAGGCTAGACTTCTTAAGGAATATACTTAAATTATATATATATATACATATAGATTGAAATCCTGTAGACCTTACGCCAAACTGCCTGTTCCAAGATTCTCAAGATTCAGGGCTACTGCGGCTTCCTTCGCCCTTTGTTGTCCCGATTGAGATTGAACATCTCAAAGTACGAACAGAACAAGAAGGACAGCTCTTCAATCAACACCAACATCGTTGACAGTTTGGAGCCCCGCGTCTCCCTAAAAATCCTGAACCCTAATCCACGTATCGGGTGGATGAGTATCTGAAGTACGAGGCCGAGCCCTCTCTTGCGCTCTAGACGTCGACTTCAAGAGATCAGCAATAAGTCAATAAGAGCGAAGAGGAATGATAGTGGCACGGGCAGCAGTCCCCAACAAACTCAAGCCACGAATGCACGGACTTTGGGGATTTCGGTATGACGAGGAGTTTGGGGCCCTAGGGATTCGGGGGTGTGGGATTCTTGGTGTGGTTAGGTGTGGGATCCAGCACCTGTAAGGCCCGGAGAACGGCGATGATGTCGATGCGACGCTGGAGCAGCTTCAGGCTTGTCAGGGCGAGGTAGCCAACCAGGCATGGGTTATATGCATGCATGTAGGTGCATGGGTGAGTAGGGTTGGTAGGTAGGTCGGTCGGTCTGTCCCTGGTTGGGCCTGTAAGGTCGCAAGGTAGGTTGGTCGGCTGACAGCTTGGTAGGTTGCTGGCTAGGTAGGCAGGTAGGCCAGTAGGTGGCTAGGTCGCTAGGTAGTGGATGGGTAGCTAGGTAGGTTGGTTTAGACTGTTGCTCGGTTGTTTGGTGGGGGGTGGGGGTGGGGGCGGGTTGGTTGACATACCAGAACAAACAAAAACCAAACATGATGTGTATGTGTGTATGTGTATGTATATGTATGTATGTATGTATGTATGTATGTATGTATGTATGTATGTATGTGTGTATATATGTGTGTATATATGTGTGTATATTATGTGTGTGTATATATATATATGTGTGTGTGTGCGTGTATCTATCGATCTATCTATCTACCTATCTATCTACCTAACTATCTATCTAGCTATCTACTTATCTGTCCGTAGCTACCTACCTACCTACCTACCACCTACCTACACCTACCTACCTACCTACCTCCTACCTACCTACCTACCTACACCTACCTACCTACCTACCTACCTACCTACCTACCTATCTATGAGTCTATCTGTCTATGTATCTACAATTCTAAAGGAATGAATGATCGAATGACTGAATGAATGAATGAATGAATGACTGAGTGAGTGAGTGAGTGAGTAAGTAACTGACTGAATGATTTTTTTGACTGAGTGAATGAATGAATGAATGAATCAATGAATGAATAAACATGTATGTATGTATGTATGTATGTACGTATGTATGTATGTATGTATGTATGTATGTATGAATGTATGAATGTATGTATGTATGTATACATGTATACATGTATACATAAATGTGTATGTGTGTGTATCTCTGTACATGTACTCATCTGTGATGTTATGTCATATATACACATACACTTAATGAGTGCATCGTCGCTAACTCCTGTGCACTTACTCACACGTACCGCAAAGAACAAGAAAGAGAAGCAGGACTAGACCTTAGAGATCTGCAGGTTGAACGGCAACCTGATACGCACACGACGTCAGCCCTTTCAACCCTGACCCTGCGGCAAAAATTCAGTTTAGCTTCCGTGAAAGCCTGGCACAGCCAACCCCGAGTCAGAGGTTGTCAAGTCTGAGTCCTTCTGATAGAGCACCAGGCTTGCAAGGTCTTTCAACCCCAAGCCCGAAATTTTGATTGGGAACACACCCGTAATACCCGGAGCTCTGCACCAGAGACCTGAACTTCCTAAATCTTAAAGCGCCTCCCCCACATGCGGTTCAGAGCCTGAGACAAAACCAAACTCCTCATGGACCCCTTATCCGGAATCATAGGACTCGCTAGCACAATCCGTGCCATGCAGGTACTGAACGACCTCTTGCAGAGATCTCAGTGGAGGTAACTGGCTTCCTGAGCTTAAGGATAAGGCTGTTGAGTCAAGATAGCACCGGATGAGGCTTGAAGACTTAGTAGTCAAGGTTGAGGACGCCCGGACTCCCGAAGAGGTTATCATTAAGCGGCAGACTGCTCCTTTGCCTCAGCCGGCCGTTGCCAGGAGGCTTCCCAAAGATGGAAGTCTCAAATCAAAGGCTTTTGGGGTAGCCTCGACGCTGTACAGCCACTTAACAGTGGAAAAAGAGGACGCTGCTTTTGGGGTCTGGGACTTTCTGGGGCTGTAGAAAAGTAGGCTTATGATTTGCGGTTCAGGGCTGTGCATAGGAGGCTTAGGCTCAAGTGAACGTCAGCTTCTCGTTCTGCCTGGGGCCAGTGACTTATATTGTAACATATTGTAACATAGTACAGTGTAGTATGGTATAGTATAGTGTAGTATGGTACATATAGTATAGTATATTATACTGTAGTATGTGGGCATTTGTCAGTGCGCACACAAGTAACATGCAAGTAACTCACACAACAAGGAATGTAACACCGAGCCCCTTCGACACGATGATGCTTACCGTTGTTGCGGTACAGACATGTCTATGCTGTACTAGAACATTTTCTACAACAGTAGACTACGTTATACTATACTTACTATACTATACTATACTATACTATACTATACTATACTATACGATAATAGACCATAACCTAATGTAAACCTTAAACTGGAAATTGGGACGGCCTGACTCCTTGACTACATGATTTAGAAGCTGATCCTGATCAGTTGCTAACACTATTCCTTAGGATTTCTTATCATATCTATACTAGAATATGCCCAAAGACCCTGTTCGAAATACTGAGGCGCCTATATTGCTCATGAAGCTTCGGGAGCATGGTCGAGGTTCAGGGCATCCTAGGACACGCTATCCACCAGAGTCAGGTATATGATATACCACAATATCACAACATACTCTACTACACTGCGACATATTATGCTATCGTACCATATACAATACTACAGTCTAATATACCACTGTATACTATAATACTATAGCGTACTAATTATAAGCTAATGTAAACCTGAAACTTGAGATCTAGCTGTGCTTGCAGGTCAGACCATTTCCAGAAGCAGGTCCGAGTTCGGGGGGGCGGTGGCAGGGGTTTTGGGGTTTTTGGGGTTAGGGCTTTGGGGTTTAGGGCTTTAGAGTTTTAGGGTGGAGGGCTTTAGGGTTTTAGGATTTAGGGTTTTAGGGTTTTAGGGTTTAGGGTTTTAGGTTTAAGGTTCAGGGATTTAGGTTTAAGTTTAGGGGTTTTTAGGTGGGTTTTCGGGTTTTGGGGTTTTCAGGGTTCAGGGTGCCAGGGAGTCGGAGCTGAGGTCCACTAGAGAGACTACTGGTGCTCATGCAATGTATCGAGACCGCTCGGCACCTTGCCACTAAACCCTAAACCCTAAACTTAAGCCACTAAACCCTAAACTTAAACTCTAAACCTAAACCCTAAACCCTAAACCCTAAACTTAAACCCTAAACCCTTGAGGTAGTGGATCTGATGGAGCTGGTCTCGAGGAGGGGGTCCTGTGTGGGAACCTTCACGCGTGCTGGAGCCTGCCAGAGTTGGTCCGGAGCCCCACGCGAAAAAGCGCTAAACCCTTGAACTTAAATCTCAAAAACGATCATGCCATTGGGCGGCATTGCTCAAAGGTACTCATGGCTGTGCCGTGCCAGGATTCTTCGAAGAAGAAGCCTGCATGCGGTGCTTAGCCCTCCAGAGTCCCCACATGCACTGTAGGGCTTACAAGGGGTTCTTAGTGCTGAAAGGGCTTATTCGGGTTACGGGAACAGACAGGTAGCAAGACTTTAGCCTGTAGATAGCTGGAATTATGCCACTTCAACAAGAGAAGGCATATATTCGAGCGTGGTTAACAACTTGTCCCCCTGTCCATCAACAAGCACCGACAAGCCCATTTAGCGAAAACATCAAAGAACTCGACTTTAAACTAATTATTCAAAGTATCAAGCCCTAGTAACCTTACCAGAGCCCTCTAACTACCCTTGCATCCTTTGCGGGCAGGGCCCCTGAGCCCTCAGAAGCCCATGTCATGGCACTTGGCGAAGCATCTGCCGCGAAGAGGCCCCGAGCCCAGTGCAGCTTTCCATCTGAAGCGCCTGCCCGGATCGATCGATCTCTCTCTCTCTCCTCGCTCTCTCCCTCTCTTTCTCTCTCCCTAGATAGATAGACACGTAGATAGAGAGAAAGAGAGAGAGAGAGAGAGAGAGAGAGAGAGAGAGGGAGAGAGCCATTTTGGCTCAAGCTTCGGTTGAAGTTTTTTTGGGAAGATGTCTAGCGACCTTCGCCACGCGAGGACCCTGACGGGCCAACAATTCCTGTCGGCATTAGAGGCCCTGAGGAGGTCGCGCTTGCTCTCCACAGGAGATCTCCAGCAGGCCACCGCAGGCTATGGCGGAGGCTCCGCGCAGTGCGACGAAGGCTGCGCCGTGCTGCAGGCTGCACATGCAGCGTTGCAGGCGTCTGGAAAGACGCGGCCCATGGACCAGGTTCGCGAGGCTACGGATGCTGCGGTTGCGGTGGCGACATCCGCCGAGCGGGCGAGAACTGTCGCAGAGAAGGTTGCTTTGGAAGCGGGATGCAGGGCAAAAGCTGCGCGAAAAGAAGGAGACCGGGCATTCCGAGAGGCAGCGCATAAACTCTCAGAAGGAGGCGAGCACGAACAAGACGGACAACACAGATGAACTGCGAAAATTTTACGACCTCATTGATGCACACAAAAGCGGTTCAATATCCAAGCTGGATATCATTGCAGCGGTGCAGGCCAGCAAGCAAGTGGCGGACGCTCTTCTTCCGAACATAGACGGCGCTGGACATGTCATGGAGAGCGAGGCAACTTTCGACGCGATCAACAACCTCTTCCAGGTGCCATATCTCCGGATGCCTCTTTGCCTCAACTATACTCCACAGAGGACCCAGTTCCAGCCTTTTCGCAGCAAAGGCCGCGAGATCTGCTCCAGGCTGTCGTTTTCGAACCCGGCTGGTTCCTCCCTGGGCGACTGAGCAACCAGGTCGAAGAAGAGCAGCTACAACGTGAACACGAACTCCGCTGCAGAAGCAAAGAGCTGTACAAAAAGGGGGTCGTAACACTCCGATACCTACGAGCCCACCAGTGCAAAATCCGACGCTTTCTGGACCGCGTGGCAAAAAGCTGGAGGTGGATTGACAGAGTGCACAGAGCCTGCCTGCGGAAGTGGGGGAGAAACACACCGGAGGCCGGGGGATCTGAAGAATACAGCGACGAGATCCTCGACCTTCCGACTCCTGAGTGGCTCAACATCGAGGAGGGGGAAAGGCCCCTACAACACCTTACTCCGCCTCTCAACAAGGGGAAGAAGACGACGACATACGCCTGGTTTCGTCTGTTCCTGCCACCACTGGGGGCGCAAGCTCCAGTTACTCCAGAATGGCCCCAGGGCCGACTGCCACCCAGACGACCACTGCCTGGATCCGTGGGGGCGAGCCGTAACACATGGGGGAACCAGCTTGCTTCCCACCCCCGTGTGTATAGCGGCCGCCTGAAGGAAGCCTGGAAAGTATATAGCAAGCTTGCTTTTCGCGCTCAGCGAAAACTACGCCGCAGACAAGAGAGAGCCGAAAGGGCCAGCCGGGCCAGCCGCAGTTCGTGAAGCACAAGAACAAATGAGCAGGGGGACAAATTCGTCTGCAACTTTCTTCGGCTTGGGGGATCGCTTGGGTTGCTTCAGGTGTTTGCTTTGGTTTCTTTTGCGGGGGACTTCTTTCCATCGTAGGTCCTTGCAAGCTGAAGTGTTACTCTTTCGAAGACCTTTGCACGATCGTCCTGTAAATATGACGGGGGATAAAACTGCTTTTCAACAAGTGTACCATAACCTGCCTCGGCAGAAGTCATCGCCAACCTGTATACCTCCTAGGAAGCTGCCGCTCTGTAGCTCCTAGATCTCAACTTTTTAGTTTGTGGGCATAAGCTTGCCTCGCTCAATCCGCCTGCCATCCGAGTTGTAATTAGAGTATGCTCGCCCTGCGGGGAAGTCCTTTGCAGAAGTCGTCCCTTGATACGATGCCTTTACTTCCATGTGCGTAGGGGGTGTTTTCTTTGGGGGCTGCTGTGTTTTGCTTGTAAGAAGTCAAGGGGGACCAACTTCTGACACCAAACCGACATGCCTTTTTGATTTCTCCTGTCGGGGGAAAGACCCTTGCTGAGAAGGCTTCGGCCTGCATCTTTCAACCCCCCTGCCGCCCGAGTTCGTAATTAGAATGTACACTCATTTCGACCTGAAACTTAGCCTTTCACGCGCAAACAAAACCTGTGCCAGATCTAGGTCACCTTGCCTTTGTACCGATGGCTAAAGCGGGGGAAGACCAACCAGGTTGCTGTTGCTAGTGTTCCTTGATGTTTGCCTGCTACGGAAGAAGTCTTCCCCCAAAGAACATCGACAGCCGTCCAATTCGCGAGGGGGACACTCCACCCTGCCAAGTTTGGTGTTACTCTATTGTTGGCCCTTCGGTTCAGGCAGGGGGACAGCTGCGGTGAAACCCTATGCATGTGTCATACGAGAGAACAGTGTCATCAAGCCTTCATTTATTATTAACCTGGCCTTAGCCCCATTGATGACCTGTCCTCGCTCTTCACTCCCCGTGGCCCAATAAACATTTGGGTGGGCCTTTCGGCCGGGGGACGTTGACCCGTCCCTATGGCCAAGAGAGAGAGAGACAGAGAGAGACAGACAGACATATAGGCATTCAAGTATAACATACATGTTTACAGAGAGAGAGAGAGAGAGAGAGAGAGAGAGAGAGAGAGAGAGAGAGATGAAGAGAGTTATGCAGACATACATTGATATACATTGATATTGTCAACATATATACATATATACATTATGTATTTATTTATTTGTTTATTTGTCCATACATGTATACATATGCAGGTAGGTCTACATAGACACAGATAGATAAAGACAGGTTCTGATGGTTCCAACAGCTGTAGATAGGTACCGGTGGATGTAAAGTTACATAGGTACACATGGATGACGATAGGAACAGATAGGTGTAGATAAGTATAGGTTAGAAATTACAGGTAGATACAGATGTAGATAGATAGCTCGATAAATCGATCGATGCATGGATGCATGGATGGACGGATAGATGGTCAGATGAATATTCAAGCATAGGTAGATACTTAGATCGATAGACAGACAGATCGATAGATGCCTACATATACATGTCGGCGAGTGTAGATGTGTGCGTATACATACATATTTGTATATGTATCTTTCTTGTGGAATTGTTTGTGTGTATGTATGCATACAAGCATATGTATGTATATACATATATATATATATAGATACTCACATGTATATCTATCTATCTATCTATCTATCTGTCTGTATGTATGTATGTACTTACTTTATTGACCTATATTGGATATTTGCATCGAAACAAACCTGTGAAACCTGAGACCCAAGTTTAAAAACTCTAAACATACGGTGAGGTTGAGCCTCAAGAGGAAGCGGTCTATGGATCCCTGAACCTTGAACGGCAAGTAGAGGAGAAAGCGTGCGTTTCGAGTCAGGGCGCGGCAATCCGCGCTGCTTCGACGCCAGCTGGCGGAGAGCACCATTTCTTCCCACGGGGGCAAGCGACGTCTGGAGCTTGGAGTGAGATGCAAGGCGTTTTTGGGTGTAAGGTGTTAGGTTTTCGGAAAATCTTTGGACCATGGCCGAGGCGCTTCATGATGGGTGGATTCATTGCATCTCCAACGGTTCAAGTGTCTCCGGATCCAAGCAATGACGAAACGTAGAGTACTCGAGCTTCGGGATCTTGCGCAAGTCGTAACAAGCAGTGGGACCACTACTCCGCAAGGTCGTAATAGCACCAATGGTAGTGTTCATGACAGCTGAAGTTATAGAGAAACTCCTAGCAGCCCAAGCAACAAAAGATCAAAAAGAAGCCGAGATTAGCACCAATAGTTAGGAACGAGGAGCAGTAAAACCAGGATCACAGGCACGGAATAACCGCAACGAGCGCCGCTAAGGCGGCTCATTGCAGCAGCAACAATAGAATGACTAGTGCTAGTGCTAGTACGCGTACCAGCACCAGGTAGCAATAGCAGCAGCAGCAGCAGCAGCAGCGGCGGCAGCAGCAGCAGCAGCAGTAGGAGTGGTGGTGGTAGAAGTAGTAGTAGTAGTAGTAGTAGTAGTAATAGTAGGAGGAGGAGGAGGTGGAGGAGGAGGGGGAGGAGTAGGAATAACGGTAAGCAACGTCACAATCGAACGATGTCACAGGATGCTCCAAGGCTCAAGACAAGTGCCACCTAACCACACGCGCACACACACACACACGCATGCAAGACACCAAAACACGTGTGCAGAGCCCGACCCGCTCAGATGGGCCACTGGAGGATAGCAGCCCCTTCCAGCGGCTCCAGCGGAGAGATGCTTTTGGTCGGCACTTTAAGGTTCCAGGCGTGTCGGGCTTATGGGGGTTTTGTCGACTCTCCTGTTTCCAGAGCAGGTTGTCTGTTGTCCTCCCATACCATTTCTGTGAACTGACCTAGTGTCTATAACCCGTATAGTCCCCTGCTTTTCTGCCCAAAAGCCACCGGAGAGAGCAATACAACAATGAGCCTCGAGGACGTGGACATGGCACTGGGCGCTTCTATGAAAACCCTCACGCTCCCTCTCCCTAGCCAGATTGAGGAGCGGCGTAGAGACGTAAGTTGAGGGTTTGCATGGGCTCTAAAGAGCTCTCATGTGTGAGTAGCGGCAGAAGTTCTTGGCTTTCGTGCCTTGGGGCTGGGATTTAGCCGGCATCAAACACGCAATCGCATCGTTTGCCCTTGACGAAAAATCACAGATGATGAAGCAACCGGAAGCTTGATGACTATCTGTAGTAGGGTTCAGGGGCCGTTCAAGCTGCGGGATCTGAGGAGACCCTAAACCTTAAACCCTAAACCCCTAAACCCCTAAACCCTAAATCGTCCTGCCCTGCTGGCAGGACTATTCCCCCGCACGGACGGCCCGGGAGAAGAGCCCTTCACCGGAGACGGCCGGGACTGAGAGGGAGGGTTTAGGGTTTAGGGTATAGGTTTAGGGCTTAGGGTTTAGGGTTTAGGGTTTGGGGTGCTCTCGGGGGGCCTTAAATAGATGTTGTTCTTGCTGTTGTTATGATTTGTCGTGATTGTTACTGCTATGTTCCTCCTCCTTCTCCTTTTGTATTCCTACTACAACTCCAACTACGACGACGACGATTACGACCACCGATAGAACTCCCATGATCCAGGCTTTCGATCCCTCAAGCCCTATACACCCCAGGTGTAGCGTTTGGGGTTCAGGGTAAACCCCAAGCCTTAACTGTAAAGAAGAGCTTTTGATCCGAAAAGCCGCAGGTGAAGGCGAAGACTACCGGAGCGAAACTTGACCGCATCTCCAACAAGCGTACAGTTGAAAGGTTTTCGTCCGGGGGTTGAAATTTAAAAGCATTAAGGATGTAGTCTCAGGCTTTGGAGATTTTGGATGTAGGCGAAGCTTTTTGTTGGTCACGTTCTTTCGTTTGGGGCTTAGGGATTTCAACTGCAGGGCTCGGATACAGCTGAATCCCTTCGAGTTGGTCCATCATTGGTGCTCACGTCCAATCCTTGCCATGAAAACAATTAGCAAGACGAAAGAAGGCTAGGAACTGGGACTCCAAATGACCGAAGATCTGCCAAGAAATAGTAGACTTCATGAAGCAACCTCTGAACTCCAGATCATGATAGCAGACACTACCGACAAGTTGCCTAAGTCAGGTACTGTTTCTGTTGGTAGCTGCATTGGTAAAAAGGGGCCTTCAAGCAACTGGTTCAGGCTGCGGGGTACCAGGTTCAGACACCCCAAATTTTGGGGTTTGTCGCGGCACACGGCGGACGCGATGGGTTTGCTTTGAGGTTGAGGATGGGGGTGAGGTGGAGAGGAAGCAGGGTCGGGAATATTGTGACTGTGATGTTCAGCTACACGATCAACAACAAAACAAATCATCATTGGCACGTACTAGTTGAAAGCCATTTCGTCATGTCATGATCATTCCTCTTGACCGCAGCATCATCCACACCATAGAATTTAAATGGTTCACAAGTCGACGTGATTTTCGTTCGACCTGCTATGTCGCCGGACATGCACACACATCGTGTTACAGGGTATTCACAGGGTCAGCAGGCTCAGATCAATGCCATGTTTTTCATTCTGCCCGGCTGACGAAGTGCTCTTTGCCGCTCCCCTCCACCGCAAAATCCAGATCAGCTCAAAAGGCATTTTGAGGTTCTCAGCTTGTTGGGGTAAGCGATGGTTTACTTCCGGCGAAAGTCCTCCCAAAAAGTGCGGCGGGAGTCTACCCCACCATCTTTCCTGAGCTGAAGCCCGAACTTGCGAGACAGCTTACAGCCGTAGAACATACTACACCATTGCGCTACCCCCGAAACGATCAAACCCAAATCCTGATGTAGCAACAACTAGTAGTTGAATCCCCTTATCATCCCTGTCTATTTATAAGGCCCTCGGGTTTTCACGATCCCTAAACTCCCGTTCCGAAGATCTCAACAGCACTATAGAAGCCAAATATCGGGGTCTAAATAATTACCAATACTATCTTGGGGGTTCCTTATTATATTTATCGAGTATAATGGACCCCAATACCCTATTGTAATTATTAAGGCCCCTATTTTAAAGAATCGCCGATTATATTCCTTCCAGCTCCTAATTAGAATTATGCTGTAAGGGAGCCCGAAACCCTATTCTAATTCTTAGGGCCCCTACATGAAACTGAGGCTCTCTGCGCGCGCTGCTCGGGAAGTTCTGGAGCCGCATGCGCAGACACTGACTCTGAGCGGCATCAGGGGTTGAGGGTTTGGGACTTAGGGCTTAGGATTTAGGGTTTAGGATTTCGGGTTTAGGATTTAGGGTTTGGGACTTAGGGTTTAGGATTTAGGGTTGAGGGCTTACTTACATTTCACTTGAGCCTTCTCTCTCATTGGCAGGCATACAAACCCAGGGTTCAAGACGTGCGGTGTAGACTTAGACTGCACCAACAGCAGCAAGATCAAAATCACGATGTTCGTCAACACCAGCACGCACTCAGCATCAGACGCATTGTCACCAGCAGAATAGTGTTCACACATACCAACACTAGCGCTTTCAGTGCAAGTGCACATATGTAACCACCTCTACCACCACCACCGCCACCACCACTCACACCCCCACAGCAACAACAACAACGATGACAACGGCAACACCAGCATGCCAGCAGCAACAGCAGCAGCAGCAACAACAACAACAACCACAACAACCACAACAACGACAACAACAACAATAACAGCAGCAGCAAGGACAATAACAGGATCAAGGACAACAACAGCAGCAGCAACAAAAGCAACGACGTCGGCAACAGCCAACAGCCAAAAAGCAACAACCAACGACCAACAACAAGCAATAGCAACAACACCCCGCAACCACCCACAACAACCCACAACGACCAATAGCAGCCACCAGCCACCGACAACCAACAACCGACCGACAACCATCATCAACAGTAATAACAACGACAACAACGACAGCAACAGCAGAAGCAACGGCAACAGCGGCAGCAGCAACAACAACAACAACAACAACAAACCAACGAACCGACCAGCCACCCCACCAACCAACCAACCAACTAACCATCCAACCAACCATCCAACCCGTCAACCCAGCAATCTACCAACCACGCATCAACCAACCGACCAAACAACGAGACAACCCACCAACCAACCAACAACAACCAATAACCACGAACAACAACCAACAATAACCAACAACAAACAATAACCAACAAAAAGCAACAACCAACAACAGCACAACCAACACCCAACACCAACAACATCCAACAGCACCCAACAACACCCAACGACACCCAAAAGAACCACCAATAATCGTCAACAACCACCAACAACCATCAACATCAACAACAACCGGAACGTCATAATCATGATCATCATCAGCAGCAGCAACAGCAACAACAACCAAAAAATGTTTTCCAGTGAACCGTAAGTACATAGTGCTGCTTGTACGGCGCACAGGAACAGGACCCAGAAATCGTCCCACGAGCAACCCCGAGAGCCACCACCACATCCAAAAAGGGCAAGAGTAAGAAGACCTACAACAACCGGACGACTACGATGACTGCTTCTGGCATGCAACACTACGACCACCAAAGCCACGACGACGATGGCGACTACAACAACTACTGCTCCTGATGCTTACCACAACCACTACCAGCAAAACTAATCTATTGCTCGTTCATACTTGCGACCATTCGCACGGACAGCGGAAGCGGCAAACTAGAGCACAATCAGACCAACCATGATGCTGCTTCCTTATGACCCATCGGAAGAGAAAAATCGCCCACAAGTCCGGAAGCCTAAAAACAACTTTCCTTTGTACGTACTGTACATCCGTCTCATGCCATAACTACGGTCGCAAGGCGTGCACTGTCTTCGAAATTCTGAAGTCTTACGCCCTAGTGCCGAGGGCCTAAACTCCGAAAATTCTTTCCCTTAAAACCTTTAAAAGCCCAGGAAACCCGTTCGACAAGAACCTCTCCGGCGGGACAAGTTCGCTTCGGAGCCGGCGCGCTGCACAGGGCAGGATAGATGTAATGGTTAGTTAGTACAGGAGCTTCAGAAAACCAGAACCTCAAGGACCAGACCACTGGTTGGCTAGTTGCAAGATACCCCATCAGCTGCCTTGCACTGCAGGGGAGGGGAGTTCAGGATGCAACAGTCGGCCTAAGCTCCCGAAGAGTGCATTTAGGCTTTGGGGTTCAACTTTTTGGCATCTGTACTTCAAACCACTGGTTCTTTGAGCTGCGCTGCCTCTGTATGCCACACCACCTTACTCAGCCCCTGGATGTTGCCCTGCAGTCACCCCTTACCTTCACAGATACCACAGGGGTGGCTGGAATCTCCCAGCTAAGGTAGGGGTCAGAACTTGTAGAAATAACGAATTCTTATAGTCCCCATTGTAGCTACAGTCTGCTACAGTGTTATGCACCCCAAGGCCGTAGTCTAACTATTAAGGCTCTAAGTGACTTTCAAACGGTGTGCATTGCCCGAAGCTTCAGACACAAGAATTTCAATCGAGATCATACTGAAACCTTGCATAGGCACCTGCACCCTGAGCCGTGCAAGAAAGATCTGATAAGCTGACAGATCCACCGTGCCTGCTGGCTCGACCAATCTAGCTTTGTTACAGTGTTATTGCTGCTATCACACCTCTTACAATCATTAAAGCAGACCACTAGACCATAGACGCCAAAACCCGAAACCAACATCCCCCAAACCCCGTAAATCGCGAATCGCCAAACGCTCCAAAGCTCTTACGACCGCTGACATGTTTGCTCTTCTTCTTCTTGCGATTATGGTTGCTAGTACTGCTAGTATTATTGTCGTTGTTATTCTTTTTAACCACTACTAGTGGTATCCCTAAACCCTAAACCCTGAACCCCTCTTGCCGATCTCTCTGTAAACGTGCCAGTCGCGCGCTCCGCCAACGGATGTGGGCAACCTCTTGGACCCGGGGCCACCTGCACGCTTTAAGCCGTCTCTGTTTTTGGGTCCATTTAAGGGTTTCTAAGGGCTTGTAAGGGTTTAGGGCTTAGGGTTTTGAGGGTTTCGGATTGCGCTAAGGTA